CCACAAAACAAAACAAAAACAAAAAACATAGTGAGACCTTGTTTCAAAAGGCAAAAAACAAAAACAAAACAAAACAAAAAAAACCCTCAAAACAAAGAACCAAATTCACTCACACAAAGAAATAGCATCTGCCACACTATGCAAGTCTAAACTAGGAGAAAGTATATTGGTGTGGTAATGTGACGGGGTGAGAGAACACAGGTCTGGAAGTTACAAGTTTCCCAAACTTCAGTTTTATCATCTCTAAAAAGAAAGTATCACCCTACAATCTCAGCACTATGGGAGGCTGAAGCAGGATGATCACAAGTTCAAGACCAGCCTTGGCAACTTAATGAAGTAGTGAGAGCCAGTCTAAAAAATAAAATAAAATAAAAAAGGGCTAGGGGTATAGCTCAGGGCAAAGGCCCTGGGTTCAATCCTCAGTATCATGAAATAAATAAACAGTACCACCTTACTGAAACCTATATGAACAACACAGTGCTAGTGTAAGAGCCTGACTGAACCAGAGTGACTCCGTGTTGACCAGCAAACGACCTAGAGACTGTCGCTCCCCCCATCCCTTATAGGAAAACTAATGATTAATTGTGCATTGTTAGGTAATTGTTTTGAAGTAGCTGGGAGGTTGGGTGGAGACTATAGTGAACACAGAGACTCAACATGGATTGTGTCACTCTTTGTATGTCTGTAATCTGAATGTTCTGAACATTATAATCTAAGTTGTAAATGGAACAATGGATGAGCAATCTGCTGATCATTAGTACCTGACGGTCAAGTATGTGCCTGATAACCACTAGGTCAGAACAACTGATTCTTTGCCTTTGTCCTCTTCCTGTAAGTTTTAAGTGTAAACCCCCCTTCAGCCCTATATAAAGTGGCCTCTGTTTCTAAGCTAGCTGCCTCTCTGAGCCACTTGGCTTGGGGAGTGCCGTTTGGCCAGACTAATAAAGGTCTATTTGCCAACTTGCCTGGTGTGTTCCTTCCTGGGTGACTCTCGCTGTCTGACTAGCTCCTGGAGCCTCGCTGAGCTTCTGAGCCCAGCATCGTGAAAGCCTCTTGGCTGTTCACGCTCCAGGACTGAAAGTGAGACTTAAGTCTTACACTAGTTTTACTAAAAGCTCATCTTTTACAAGCAAATGTAGAAGTTATGAATAGAGGGTGCCATGAGTAAATTATGAAATGGCACTGTACAAAAACAAGCAACAAAAAGCCATTTGTTTATTCAGCAAACAGTCACTGAGAACTATTATGAGCCAGGCACTATGTCAAGGAAACAAAATAAGAATGCTTGTCCTCAAGGGACTTACACTACAGCTCAAGCTGATAATATTTAATACCGTGTGGTAAGTGCAGTGCTAGAGGTACACCTGGGATTTTAAGAGGGGTCTGCAAGAACTATACTTAAACAATGCTGGTGTGTGGAGGCGGGGCCAGGAAAAGCTACATTAACAGAGTAAGACTTCCTGGTGTGGTGGTGCAGGCCTGCAATCCCAGTACTTGGGCAAAGAAACTAAATGGAGACGCAACCCCTCCAGGAAACTAAAAGCACCCTTTCCTTGTCTGCCAAAACCAAATCCGAGGTCTAACCATGTGTCACTTTTCAAGATCTGGACCATCAACTCTGCCCAGTGTGTGGCTGTATCGACCTTCCAGTCTTGCTATTGCTCTCACTTGCCGCCAAATTCCTTCATAGAAGGGTAAGGTGGACTCCCTGCAAAATAGTTTTTGGCAGGGGTCTCCTTCTCAAAGAAGATAATTACCAGGGTGCAGCCAAAATAAAGGCCGCGAAGGCAGGGAGAACATTTGCGATGGGGATGCGTGGAGGGATCCCAATTCCAGGGAACGTGGGAAGTCTTTAAGGCTCCGGGTGAGAATGATTTCCGGATGCAAGGACACCAGGGGCACAGTCCCTCCGCGCCCCGTGGCGCTGGCAACGGGACACCAGGCACGACGGAGCAGCCAGAGGGGCGGATGTACAGGGGGAAAGAGGGCGCGGAAAGAGGCGCCTGCCGCCGAGAAGGTCCAAGCACAAGCACAACGGGAGTCTATGGGGGTCCCGACTTTCAAAGCAAGCTGTCAGCAGGGCGCCCACTCACCGCTGCTGCTGGTGAAGTAGAACACCATGATCTCGGTGGCTGTGGGCGACACCTGCACCAAACAGCAGGACTCAAATCGCAAAGCTCAAGACACTCAGAAGCGCAGCTGCCGCTGGTCCCCCGGAACTCCTCCGTGCATTTCCGGCGCACAAAGGACTGCGTCATAACCGCATCCCGTCGGCGCCATCTTTCATCCTGGCAGGACGGGAGGGTGCTGGCGGGATTCGGGCGTTAATGATTTAAGAACTGGGAGAAAGAAACCAAACCTGAACGACCGGCACTTGGAAAACAACATCATCTTTGAAAGCATAAAGAAAAATGCAATCGGCAGACCTCATTTGCACATTCTACACTGAGGGTTATTATCGGTTTTGTTTGCCTCCCCTCAGCCCTCTATGGGTTCCATTGCCTTTTTTCACAGCTTGTGATGATCACATTCAGCAATTAATAGGTGCTCATTAAATTTTAAATGAAGCCACATTCCACAAGTACTTATTTGATGAGGATTCTTTGCTTCGCCAAACTTTTTAGTCAGATTTCTGATTCTTGTACTAGGCCTGTGTAAAATTCAGTTTTACAAAGACCTCTCCAAAGTCAAGTTTAGCAAGCAACCCACCATCTATCCTCAATATCTGATCAAGTTCTTAATCCTCCAGCAAACTTCTGTTGATCTTTGATCGACTTGGCCTGTCTTTAGTATGATCCTATCAGATCAGCTTAGCCAGAATCATCCTTACCCATGATGTTTCTACTTAATTATTTTTCTATCCGCTGACCTGTACCCTCTGCCTTGCCTATGACTTCTTATTTATACTGTGCTTGGAGTTTGGTCCAATCTTTAACCCCACTGCATAAACCCTATCATAATGGTCCTGAATAAATTCTTCTTATCATGTTTAAATAAGAATAACTTTTTCTCAAACATATTTTAACTCCAGCACGTATAAGGTGGATATTGGGCATGTTAAATTCTCTGCTTCACTTCATTCGTTTGCTAAATAAAGGAGAGTAGCTAATTCAGGATATTTTGCTTCAGGAGTTTTAGCTCAGTGGTTCTGCCACCTGCCTCACAAAGGCAAGGTCCTGAATTCGAGCCCCCAGTAGCAAAAAAAAAACAAAAACAAAAACCAAAAACAAAACAAAACAAAAAACGTTAACAGGCATCAAGGGTACAGAATATAGTGAACACTCAACTTGTTATTAATGTTCACCAGATGCATGCCTCTAGGGGTTTGGATTTAGTTCTGACTTCTATGACCTAGGATGGTAGGCAAATCCCAAACCTCTGAATTTAGGAGATCTTGACATAAAGCAGGGATGCCATAGCACTTGATTACTTTCTTACTTAACAAAAATTATGAAAAGCCATTGTTTTATTTTTACTTACTGCTTTTTGGAGACAAAGTCTTGCTATGTAGTTAAGGCTTGTTTTGAACTCACTATGTAGCCCAGGCTGTCCTCAAATTGAAGAATTCATATTGATCCTCCTGCCCCAGCCTTCCCAGTGCTGAGATTAACCCATGGGAAGCCATTGTTTTAGACTGAGTTCCTTCCCTAGGCCTGACAGACCAGACCAGATGAAACAACCCAAATGCCAAAGTCCACACAATCAAACTGAAGCTTTAAGGAAGTGGATAGATCCCAAAATAGACCAATCTTTCCTGAAAAACAGAAGCTCCTTTTCTCCCTGAATATGCATGATAAAGAAGTCCCCTGGGCTTTAACCTTACCAAAAAGTTATTTGATGTTAGCCATTTTTTTCCCTTCTACTGTTTCCTTGGTCCGACCTTATAAAACTCACTATTCTGCTACTGCTCAATGGGAGCTTTCATTCCATATAGTATTCAAGGACCCATCTTGTATTCATGAATTGTGAATAAAATCCAACAAGATCTATAACTAAATTTGTTGCAACTTCGTCATATTTTTTTAAATTCTGACCAACTTCATCCTGTGAAGTTGTGTGCATCACTTAACTAAGTTTATGTAGAGCTAAAAATGTGCCTGAGGCTATCGGAGCTGGTAACACCAGACAATAAGGATAACTAACAACAGATGAATCCTTTTAAGAACTTTCCTTTTTTCAAAAGCAAGAACCTAGCTATCTCTTGTAAATAGTAATTCTTTTAGGGCCTTGTTTTCCTTGATTTTTTATGTTTTAAAATTTTTATTAGTACTTTTGCAGTATATATCATGATATAATAACATATGATATATGTGATATAATGTATATCCATTGTGAGGAGTTGGTGCTTGTACATAACACATATTAGTTCTTTTATCTCCTTTCTCTCCCCTCCCTCCTCGTTTCCCTCTCCCTCCATCTCTTGGTCTCCTTTTCATTTTCTGTGAAATGTGAATAATAGTACATATTTCATACATTGTGGAGAGGAGTAAATGGAAATAAAATGTGTAAAACATTTAAGTAGCAGAAGCTCATGACTTGATTTAATTTTTTAAACTTTAACTTGAATAAAACTTGAAGCAATGAAATATTACTAACTTTAAAAAAAAGGTGACGCTAATGGTCAAACTGAAACAATAAGCTCTTCGAGAATCTGGAAAAATTGGAAGTGCTTTACACATCAAGTGACCAGAATTTGACCTCGCGTGCCACTGGACCGAAAACTACAATCTCCAGAATGCACCTCAACAAGGCCGGGAAAAGGGAGCTCGGCGCTGCGGCGCGCCAAGAAGCGGGGCGTGGTTTCCCTGAGGGAAGAGCTTTTTGGCCTCTCCAGGGCGGGAGAACGTCGGAGCCAGCCTCCTGGGTGGGAGGGGCGAGTACTAGGGAGTGGCCAATCACCAAGCCAGCCCTTGGGAGCGCCGCAGAGCGACGAATCGGAACGCAGCAACGCCTGCCGCTTCTGGCGCGCGTTAATTTGAATACCAGAGCGACTGCTGGGCTGAGGAGAGGTCCTGGGCACTGAGGCGCAGGTTTCCCCTGCGAGCGACAAGCTGCGCGTCGAAGGCTGAGGAGACGTGGAGCTTAGTGGAGCTCGGGGTGAGTGTCCCAGGGAAAGCCTTTGCTGTGGCCTTGGTGAGTTGGCGCGCTCTGGACCGAAGCCCCGGAGCGGCTCTCCTCACCCGCAGGCGCCGGCTCACCTGTCCCTAGCCAGTGTTTCGCGTTGCCCTCTCTGGGCTGGGGACAGGGGACCCTGGCGCTTTGCTCTTAAACTCGCCTGGCTCTGAGGCGGGTCTTCCCTTCGTTACCGCAGACCCTGGGCCTTCCGTTGGTCTCGCTTTGAAGTTGCGCGTGTGACATGGGGGCGGGGCTGATCTTGATCCAGATGAGGAGAACGGAAAGAACTTTCCCTACGGATCGATTTAACCTGCACAGTGATCACTTTCAGCCGCCTGACGAGGCCAGAGTAGTTTATGTTTTGCTAGAATAATTTTCCAGTTTAAAAGAAAAAATCATCCTGCTTTTGTTTCTTGTTACTTGCGACTGTGGTGTATGTAATATTCTCTCTAGTTCATGGTTGAAGGCGTTAAAATATTTTGCATTTTGAAAATGTTTTTTCATGGCTGTTTATGGACCATCATTTATCTGAAAGCTTTTCAGTTTTAAAAGTACAATTTTGACATACAGATTTGTTAAACCTATTCGATGAATTTGGTTATTGCAATTGATGATCTATTGCTTTTAGAAATTCAACTAAGAAGATGGCAGCTTTTACTCCAAAGAAGAGGAAGCAGCATTTTTTGGACTGTGACAGGTGAGTCTCGGCCTATGCATAGAAACTCTTTAGAAAAAACCACCTTGTGTTTTCTCTTAAGTATATTTGCTAAAATTTTCATATTTCTATTAGTCTGCTCCTTTGGTTACAATAGTACTCTAGTTTGGGAATACAGTAAGCTCTTATAATGAACTATGTTGTCCTTTTGGAAGCAAAGAAAATGCTGTTTTCTACTGCTAGGAAATATGTCAAATCTTTTATTTTCTTGTTGTTTTCTACTCACCATGTAATACTTAACATAGTGTTTTTTTGCAAAGAGCAGATGCTTATCTGTAAGCAATGCTAGAAAGTCTGTGCACAGTGATCCTCCTTATCTGTAGTTTTGCTCTCCAAAGTTTTTGTAAGCAATGCTAGAAAGTCTGTGCACAGTGATCCTCCTTATCTGTAGTTTTGCTCTCCAAAGTTTTACTTACCTGCAGTCAACTGTGGTGTGAAAATATATAATGGAAAAGATGAGCACAGTGTGGTTAGATACTTTGAGAGGAGGGACAGACCACATTCACATAACTTGCTACAGCATATTATAATGGTCCCATTATATTATTGTTAATCTCTTACTGTGCTTTCTTTGTAAGTTAAGTTTTAGAATAAGTATGTATGTATGTATGGGGAAAAACAGTATACACATGCTTTGGTAGAACCTGCAGTTATGGGCTGAGAGTAGTCGCTGGAAGTCTTGAAATGTACCCTCCACTGGTGGTGAACCTTTGGCACACAGGCTGCCACGGGCTGTTTGTACCACTGAAAGCTCTAAAAGGTTCGCCATCTCTGGTATCCCTTGTGGGGACTACTGTATGTGGGACTTAGCTACATGTTATGCCAGAGATTTTAAAAATTCCAGAGGAAAAGCCCCAGGAAACAATTTATTACATTATTTATTATCATTATATGAAACTTTTATATCCAATAGAGCAAAATATATGGGCCCTAATTTGTATGTAGCCTAGACATAGAAATGGATTTTGAAACAGACACATATATATATATATATTTCAAAACTTCTTTTTAAACAACTTGATTTCATGAACATTATTGGTGTCTTTGGAAAGATATTTGAATACTATGATAAAGACAGAATTTGAGAATTCTGTTAACATAATGTGTACATTTGGGGAAAATGTACTTTTTACACCACCTGTAGGGATTTTTTTTAAGTAGATTTGCATAAATTTTGAAGGAAAATCATGAATTTATCATTGGACTTTGTTTTCATAGCCTATTATCAGACATTCCATCCAAGAAATTAATTTTGGACTTTGCTGAAGATCTGTTTCTGTCACCTAGTAAAATACACACTTGTGAAAGCAGTGAGACAAGTGAAGAAAATGTGCCTTGCTCTCACCAAAGCCATTTCGCATCAAGTCCACTCAAAACAACTCAGAAAAACCGATTGTCACCTGCAGATCGCAGCTCACCATTTAACTCTGCTGTGTCCACTGTATCTTTTTATAATAAGGATAAGTGGTACCTCAATCCACTGGAGAGAAAGTTGGTAAGAGAGAGTAGATCCATTTCTCTACAAACTAATGACAAAGATGAATCTGTTCCCATTGTGGCCGAAAAAATGCAAGGAAAATCAGTATGCACCAAGAGGAGGAACAAAAAACCACAGAAAATTTTAACTGCAAAGTATCAACCAAATTATAAGCGCATCAAGCCTCTACCAAAAAAGTCTAAAAACTCCACGCAAAATCGAATGGCCTATAAGCCAGCCCTGGAGAAAGAGAATAATTGTTATTCATCTGAAAGTAAACTGGATACTCCTCGAGTCTTAAGCCAAAAAATAAAACCACAAACTACACTCCAGGGTGGAGCAGCATTTTTTGTTAGTCGAAAAAAACTCTCTCTTAGGAGAGCTCTGGAAAATAAACCATCAGTGGGTCTCAACCAGAAGAATGAATCAAAAGTGATTGAAGACTGTGATGCAGAGTCTGTGTGCGAAAGAACTTTGGTGAAAGAACAAGCACCCAAGTATTTGTTACTAGAAAAGAAATTGCATATTGAGCTGAGCACAAGAAGTAAACATGGAGAGAAATTCATAAAGGTAAAGAAAGCCAATATATATCCCTTTAAAAAACAGCTGGCTATTTAACAAAACTTCAGTATGAATAATATATGTAATATAGCTGGACAAAATTTGATCTTTATGTTTGCTTGTTTGTTTGGTTCTTGTTTTTTGGTTTGTTTGTTTTTGGTTTTGCATACAGGGTCTTGCCATATACTCTGGGCTGGCCTTGAACTGACTGCGTAGCCCAGGCTGGCTTCAAACTTGCAGCCATCTTCCTGCCTCAGCCTGTCCCAAATTCTGGGATTACAGGCATATACCACCACGCCCAGCTTGATCTTTACAGTTTGAAAGGCTGCTCTTGCAAGGCCTAATAGGGGTAAAGAGTTTAGAGGATGGGTAGAAAGATGATTGACTTTTTTTCCTTTTTTTGTGGCTTCTGGCAGTATTTTCTTAGAAGATAAGCTTATTACCTTTTGTATTTGTTTTAGTTCATTATTTAATAGGGTAGATTATCCTAGAAATTTTAGAGGACAGCAAGTAAAGGAATTTTATATAATTACCTGGCGATGATCACTGTATAGTGGACATGTGTATGTGTGTGTGTATGTGTGTGATTTCTTCACAGTTGTCATTCTGTGTCCCTGAGCTACATCCCTGGCCCTGCGCTTTTTCAGTTGATCTCTCTCATAACATAGATTTGTGCTGTCTGATAGAAATATGACATTAGCCACATGTAGTTTAAAATTTTCTACTGGCTATATGTGAAAAAGTAAAAAAAAAGAATTTGCATGTTATATCAATGTAATCAATATTAAAAGTTATTCATGAGATTTTTATATTATTTTTTATAGACTTCTTAGAATCTGTGTTTGTTTCACATAAAACTGTCTCAATTTACACTAGCTACCTTGCATTCTCATCAATTACATGTGGCTGATGGCTGCCCTACCAGACTGTATGAGTGTAGACCTTTATTTATTGACCTCTCATCTGTAATCTGAATCAAAGAAAAGTCATTCTTTTTTCTCAGGTAGCTAAAATCAGTGACACATCAGGGAATCTCCCAGTTCAGGGCTTCTGCTTCTGTGGTGTCAGACTCATCGCAACCCTTGCGGCTAGTGAAATGATAGGCCTGAAATACAGCGCCCTGTTATATGTAGTCTGTGACTCGGGTATGGGGTAATTCAAGCTCTATAGTCATTTCTGCCCTAACTCAGCTTGTCCTCTTCACTGTTTCCTCTCAAGTTCAATTTATACTGCTTGTGGTCCGCTAAATGCTAAAACTTGGCGGCAAATCTTATAAACTTGGTGGACAGTGGATAAGGTCCAGCCCATGTATGTTTTGCTTGTCCTACATAATTGAACATTTTGAGTCAAAAATTTTTCTTAATGCAAGAAAACATAATCTTATGAAACTGGTGTCTCATGAAAATTTGAAGGGTGGCAAAACAGCCCTCATTTCTGTGTGGTAATCTCTCGTAGCTGTCATACTATTTGACATCATTTTATTTGGCGGTTATGAGCTGTTCATTTCCCTTTATTAAGTCAGTATATGTATTTAGATCAGCCTATGTTTGATACTAACTTTACTTAATTGCTGCTCTTACAGGCTCTAAAATTTTTAGTCCCTGCTATATATGTTTCTTCCTGTTTATTAACTGTTGCCAAATACATTGTTAAATGAGACATTTCTTGCTACTAAGCCATGACAGTGTAATTCCACTAGTTCTTCATATTCTATTTATTTAAAACTGTCTTGATAGAGATTTTTATATATGGGTATGTATCAAATACTCATGTAAATTTATCAGTATTCCTTTAAGTATATGCCTATGGACTTCACTACATATAAACTTTTCCAGTTTAAAACTGTTTGGGATATAATTGAAGCTAAAAACAAATCTCAGCAAAACAAAGTAGAAGGCAATTTTCCTATCCATATCCCAATTACTCTTATTTGGTAATGAAATTATAACCTCTATATCTAAAGAGAGAAATTTTCTGTAATACCATTTTGGTCTTATTTTTTATTTCTTTAGAGATAGGTATTGAGTTCTGTCTCATTTTCAGGAGTGTGAGACTCTGGACTTTTTGCATCTTAAATTTTTAAAACTGAGCTCTGCTGTCTTAAGATTAAGACAGTGTTAAGTAGCCACTGCTAGGGTTCATCTTTGCTAGTTAAAGATGAATCTGAAAGATATAAGGATCCCCTTTCCCCATTCATGGAGCCCAGAGAAATGGCTAAGATTCAGTCTTGAATAGGAGTTCTGCTTTAATCAGAGTTTTTCCTTTTTCCCAAACCATGACATCAAGTACCTAAGTCTCACAGAATTAGTAGTATTAGCAAAATTTGTGAGGATTTCTTTTGCTTTCGTTACTACTTCCTTTTTAAAGTCAATAACAAAGTTGTCCTTTTCTAGTTTAGTGGCTTCTGGGAAGATTTTTGCCCATTTTTACTCATTTATGTTCATTTTATTATGGAAGGGATAGTCTGTTATTTAGCCATTTTTATCTGGAAAATACATTTTTGACAAAGATGACAGATTACAGTATGTGTACTTTCGCTTTTAAAAGGTGATACACATTTAATAGACCGAGGAAATTTTCTGAGGATTTAAAAATGACAATGGAATATAATTGAACTATGTTTTGCTTTAAAAACAGATCTATTGGGGTTCATTTACTAAATAGAAAAGGACTAAGAATTCTTAGTACCTTTATTTACCTTTTTAACCTTCCTTTTCAGGATTCATCAGGTGCAACAGTTTCTTCAAAGGAAAATACACTTGATAAAAGTAAACATTTGCCTTTAGATGATTCTCCTGGTGAGAAAAAAAGTAAGTAAATTTCTTAAATGAGGTTAGCTACTTGTAATAAAAATTCATATATGGTAATTTTTCTCAGTTTTACAAATTGTTTTTACTAATGTGTCTATGAAATTATCTTTGTGTTTATCTCTGTGGCACTATACAGTGCATTTTGAAAAGCAGAAGATGGAGATTTTAGATTAAAACTTTAGACAAAAGTACCATTAATGCTTAATTGACTGTGACTGTGACCAAATTAATTTCTTGTTTCTGTGGTTTTCATGACTGTGATATTCTTGAGGGATACTGGACAGACACCTGTAATATATCCCTGGATCTAGGTATGGCTTCTTCACTGTAAACTTGCTGTTTTTCTTTTCAATATTCTATCCTTAGGAAGCTAGTCACTAGGTCTAGCCCTTCCTTTCAGGGGGCAGCGAAGATTAAACTCCTCCTGGAAGGGGAAAACACCTATATATGTTATTTGGAATTTCACTGTAATGGAGAATGATCTTTTCTCCATTCTTGTGTTTGGTCATTTAACACATTCACAACAGGGTCATAGTTTGTGTGTCTCATTGCTGGGCAGTGTGTACATTAATGATTCAAGCCAGTGGGACTGTGAAAGAAAGGAGGGGAGGAGAAGAGAAAAGAGGAAAGAAAGAAAGACAAGAAAAGAAAGAAAGTAAAGGATTAAAGGACATGTATTACGAAAGATTCATGTATTTTGCATTTGGGGTTTAAATCCACTGCATTATTTACTTTTTGTTCAGCTTTGGCCATTGGGATCTTTTTTCATGTTGGTTCTCTTTGGCATGTCTCATCTTTTTTTTGTTTTTTGAGCACTTCCTTAATTCTTGTCATAATGAGATGCTATAGGCTCATCTTGTATTATCCCTCCCCCAGGATTAGAATCAGCAATTTCTCCACAGAACCCTACTTGCTTTCATTGGAGAGTGGCACAGTATTTAGAAACTTAAGATCTGGACTTTGGATATGCTTGTTGCTGATGACATATTGTTGCTTCTAGGCCCTCTCATCAGAGCTAGGAAATACATTTATAATACATAAAAAACTAATTATTTCTGTATGTCTCCATCTGTACATAACAGCATGAATTCATATTGAAATCTCCCCCTCTAACTCAATACCACAGAGTTTATTTTGTTCTTTTATATTTTACAGTTTGATCTATGATCTATTTTATTACTTTTTATATTAGATACATGTAAAATTTTTTGCATATGGACGTCCAATTATTCCAGCACCTTATTAAAGATTATCCTTCTCCATTGAAATACATTTGCCTCTTTGTCAAAATCAGTTGCATGCATTTGTGTGGGTCTATTTCTGGGCTCACTATTTTGTCCATCTATCTGTTAACTCCTTTTGCTAAGACACACTATTAATTATTGTTAAGCCCTGAAGTCAAATAATACTATTGTCTTATTAACCCTTAAAGTGTTATGATTTAAAGGTTTGATTTTATTTGTTAATTTGAATTATTGCCTTTTTTTCCCTCCCACCAGTTTCTCCTGAGTCCCTTGTCTATCCTATCTTCAGTTCAAAAAGGTAGGAATTGTTCTCGCTTTAATGTCTATGTTTTATTAGTCACACAGAGGTCTCTTTTTCTTTCTTGTACTACTTCATTTGGAGAGCATTTTCTTCTTCTCCCTGAGGGGAATGGGAAATTTGTTTTGAGAACAGATGAAATCAGTACCTCTCATAGAAATGTCATAATGATTTAGAGTTGAGAGATGGAAAAAGTCTCAGCAAGGCTGGGTAGACTGGGACCAATGAGAGAATGCATACCTCATTCGGAAGGGCAATTCCATGTAGCTTCAACTAAGAGATTTTTAAAAAATAATAGAAGTCTTGTGATCTGTTACTATCTCCAAAATATCTGACATACTTTTTTTTTTTTTTTTTAAGACAGGGTCTCACTATGTAGTTCAGGCTGGCCTTGAACTCACTATGTAGCTCAGGCAGGCCTCAAACTTGTGACAGTCCTCCTGCCTCAGTCTCCCAAGTGCTAGGATTACAGGTGTGCACCACTATGCTCAGCCTGGAAGTACACATTTTTAAGGAACTCTCTAGATTTGAAAATATTGGTAGCTAATCCAAACTTTTAAATAATGTATAGTGGCTGGGTTGAATGTGGTGGCTCATACTTGTAATCCCAGCACTCTGGAGGCAGAGGCAGGAGGGTTGCTGAGAGTTCAAGGCCAGTTTAAACTACATGGTGAGACCTTGTCTCAACCAAAACAAACAAACAAACAATGTGTAGGACATCCAAAATGTATCTACTAGTAGGTTTTCCTGAGAGCTGCCAGTTTGGAACCTCTTAAGTCAAATCTCTACATATTTGCATCTGGTACTATAGAGGAAAACTCCTTGGAGTTGGAGAAGACAAGAATATGAGTCTTAGCATTACCATTCACTAGTTACATTCTCTTGAGTAAATTACTGACCCCTCTAAGTGGGCCTCAGTTTTCTCACTGTCATGTAGTATTTATCAACTTTCTATTTCAAGATCTCCAGCTGAAGAAGAGTCTTCTTTGGGACCTACAACATGTATTAACTTCTCAAAACAGACCAATGCACAGAAAAATGTGAATACCAGAGATACAAATAAAGAAACAAAAGACCAGCTCATCATCGTGAGTAATTCAAAACCTGGGATTTCACATGCAGAACGTGAAGCCCACACTTGGGTTATACGTGCTCTGAACTTGGTAGTGTCAGTTTTGTTGCAGGGAGGCAGCAGTGAGAGGAGACAGTCAGTAAACTTACACTGATAGCTCAGTGCTAGTGTTAAGTAGTACACTGATGAAGGAGTTGTCTCCAAGTAAGAAAATTATTGTTGGTCAACAGAAGATTCAGTGGGAATAGTATATTCAGTTAGACCTAGGTTTGGCAAACTGTGCCATGGGCAGAATTCCAGCCATAGCCTGTGAGCTATAAATGGTTGTTAACATTTTTAAAAGTAGCTCAAAAAAAACATGGCAACGTCTGTGTGGCATTTTCGGTGGGACTAAGCAATGCCTTCTGACAGTGGAAGCTGTCAGTTGTGATACTGGATGTCCCTGACTTCCCTATACTTGGGAATTTTCCTGTGCTGTTCTTGAACTTTGCTCATGTGTATTTGTTTTTGTTTTTTTAACTCTTAGAAAAGAATTTTAATATTTTTTGAGACTATAGAATCTAACTTTTCCAGCCATTTAAGGAAGAAACACTGTGCAATTAATATTACAGTCCTGAAAATTTTCCCTTCCTCTTTGGAATAAGACTTTTCTGATTCTTTCATTCAAGAGTTTCATGAAGACATTCCATTGGTTCACCTTGGTATAATTTTTGTAGTTTAATCTTTGGGGAGGGGCGTTTTTGAGACTCCCTATGGAGTCTAGGCTGACCTCAAACTTGCAGTGATCCTCTGCCAGAGCCTGTGGAGTTCTGGGATCACAGGGCTGCACCACCACATCTGGCCGGCTTCATCTCACTGTGACTATCAGTTTAATAGGAAGTCGTATTTTTTAACACTGCATTCAAAAAGAAAATTCTATTACTTCAGTAATTCATAGCATTTTTAAGTCTCTTCTTATTCCATTTTCTGAGGAAGGATGTAGTAAGCAGATGTTTATTTAGTATTTTATTTGTCCCAGCATAAAAGGGAAAAGGGGAAATTTGAATGGATGGTTACATGAATTTAATTTAGAGCTCTTTGTATAAATGTGATGGCTTTCTCCCCCCACTTCACTCACAGGATGCAGGTCAGAAATACTTTGGGGCTACTATGTGTAAGTCTTGTGGCATGATCTACACTGCTTCTAATCCTGAAGATGAGACGCAGCATATCCAGTATCATCACCGATTTATGGAGGGAATCAAATATACAGTGAGTCAAAAATGGCTTCTCAGTTTCTTCTAAAAGTAAAACTGTCTTACAAGAGACATTTAATTCCATTAAATATTAAAAGATCTAACCACCCATAAATATGTCATTGTCTACAGTTTTCTTGTGCTTACAATTTGAGAGTGAGGCATTGTGGTTTTGCAGTGCTGGGAATTAAATTTAAGGCTTTGTGTATGTTAGGCAAGTGCTCTGCCACTGAACTATGCCCTTAGCTCAAAAGTTAACTCTTAATAGTACTGTTTCAGACTTATAATCTCAGTATAAGAGAAGTATTGGCCTCAGTTGAGTATACAAGTACCCTAGATTCTGACCCCAGCTTTCTGGGTAGAGCTCAACAAATAAAAAAGCTCAAACATAGCCAGGCATGGTAGTGCATGCCTATAATCTCCGCACATGGGAGGCTGAGGCAGGAGGATTGCCATGAGTTCAAGGCCAACCTGAACTGCATAGCGAGACCCTTTCTCAGAAAAAGTCAAAGGGGATGAAAAAAAAAAAAAAAAAA